TTTTAAGCCATCCGGGATGCAAACTGCGGTCGACTACGTGGGAGTCCAGCGACATAGCCATTACACTAACTGCTGGTCCCAGTAGTCTTTTCTTATCTGTGTCTTTGTGAACTATCTTCAAGGACGTAAGATGCTCCAGACCAGACTGGACTGGGCCTCGCCGTGTGTCTTTTCACTGGGGTTTAGGAACCCTAGTGCAGTGAGAACCTGCAGCATCCGCAACATGGCAACAGGAGCCACAGCAGCTCACGGAGCAGGTGGCCTTGCAGAGTTCAGTGGTGTGTATGTTGTGTCTCCTCCTACAGCTATTGACCTGCTGTACTGGCGGGACATCAAGCAGACGGGGATCGTGTTTGGGAGCTTCCTGCTGCTGCTCTTCTCCCTGACCCAGTTTAGCGTGGTGAGCGTCGGGGCCTACCTGGCCCTTGCCGCACTCTCAGCCACCATCAGCTTCCGCATCTACAAGTCTGTTTTGCAAGCTGTGCAGAAAACCGACGAGGGCCACCCTTTCAAGTGAGTGCCCCACCACCTGGTGTAGCCCTTGCACACCTCTCACTGCCTCTTCTCTCACCGCCACTTGAGCCCATAGGTGCCCTAGGACTGTCCCTCTCTGACACCTGATGGACCCCCAACCATCCTAACACCCAGCCTATCTCTTAATGTCTACATTTCTGCAGAATATTTGAAATGAATTACCTTTATTCTAGCATATATTGCTTTGTTGAGTTTGTTTAGTGTAATTACTACTAATACTAATCATAATCATTATGTGGATACAATGTTTAAAATGTAAAGAGTGTTTCAAAAATTACTTAATCCTCCCAACTCTATGAGGAAGGCAGGGCAAGCATTACAATCCCTATTTGCTGATTGGAAAGACTGAAGTCCAAAAAGCAAACTGACACTGAAGTTCCCAAAAGCAAAACGACATGCCTAAGGTTACGTGGGCAGTAAATAGCACAAAGCCAAGACGAGAGTGTTTGGATTTCCATTTCCACACTCTCTCTGGAAGTTTAACACTGAAACACCAAGCCGCCAACCTTCTAAAGGATACAGATTCATGTATGGTCTTATCATGTGCCCTCCTCTGCATGCCTGTCCTGGGAAAATCTGATCAGAACAATACTGAAGAGGAGGAAATATCAATGATAAAAGCAATAATAATAAAAAGACAATCCACTAATTGACTGACCATCCATGTCACCCCTTTGCCTAGTGGCTGGCCCCAAAGTCATCCTTCACTGTTTTCACATTATAAAATCAAGGGTCAGTCCTGGATAGACATATAGATGATGCCAGAAAATGACTTCTGGCCCAGTAATTCCCGATAACACCTCTGTATCCACCCTGGCTACCTTTTACCAGTCACTGAATCAAAGCCTCAGCAGCTCTATGGTCTTAAAAGGGAGATTTGTGGACAAAGAGGAACAGGCTGCATATCAGACATTCCTACTATAACAAAGTACCCTAACCTGAGTAGCTTAAGCAACAGAAATGCGTTTCTCCAGTTCTGGAGGCTGGGAAGTCTGAGATCAGGGCTGCAGACTGCAGCCTTCTCACTGTATCTTCACGTGGTAGAGGAGGGTGAGAGAGGGTGAGAGAGCTCGCTGGGCTCTCTGTTATAGGACACCAATCCCATTTATAAGTGCTCCACCCCCTTAACACAATCACCTCCGAAAGACCTCGCCTCCTATGGCCATCACCTTGGCAGTTAGAATTTCAATGCTCGGATTCTAGAAAAATGCAAACATCAGTTCTTAATACTCCCTAAAACTCAAGCCAAAAGTTGCTTTAATCTTTTTCTTCCAGTTCTCAGAGTTAAGTTAGTGCCTTAAGAACTCTAGGAGTGTCCCCCAGGTAGGCAGTATGGTGCTGTCTTAACCCAGGAGAGGCAGGGAATGGAGAGGGAGGATGGACCTCCATGCAGGAGTGTGACTGGGCAGGAGGAAGCTTAAGCTGGGTTGGTTTTCATACGTTTTTACTTTATATTCAAGTATACTGTGTCCTATATATTCTACCCATTTGTGGGCTCAATGTAACCATTTGAAAAACTTAAAATGCCATTACTAAAAATACTACTCTCTAGAACCAGTGAGTAATTTAATATGACCCAGGTTACTTGAGATTTCAGTGCTCTCTGGATAAATCTAGAAGTAAATTCCAGAATTTAAACTAAAACTCTTAGATGTTTTTGAGGCAGAACAATAGTTGGCAGCTAGGATTTTCAGAGTGCTCAACTATTTAAAAAGAAAGTTTGTCTCTACGCAGTCATGTAGGGGAACTCAGCCTAGGAGCTGATTTCTCACTGATTCCCCTGGTGTGGCTGGTTTCTCTGCATTGTCAGCTCTCATGGGAACACTGTCTGCTAGACATTCACGGCTCCCCATGGGGGTCAAGATTCCTGTATTCTCCAAGGCACCAGGATTGTAACCCCCAGAGATGGCCCAGTGCTGTCCTCAGAGTGAGAGAAGGATCACTTAGCAGTCCCTGGGATGCACCCACTGGTCTCAGGATCCCCTCTGACGAGCTCTCTGTGGGGGTGGTTTGTCGGCAGGGCCTACCTGGAGCTGGAGATCACCCTTTCTCAGGAGCAGATCCAGAAGTACACGGACTGCCTGCAATTCTACGTGAACAGCACACTTAAGGAACTGCGGCGGCTCTTCCTCGTCCAGGACCTGGTGGATTCCTTAAAGGTACGATCACTGTAGCCGTTCACTGTCAGTCCTGAGTTTTATGTTCCCTAAGGTGTGACAGTCTAAACTACCACATAGGGGATAAAAAGCAAGTGCCCATTGTATTCTAGAGGCAGAAAGCCTCACATTCTGTGGTATCAAGGAGCTCATCCAGGCAAGAACCTGTCAAAAATACCTTTACTTTAAAAACAACAAAGCTGTGTCGCAGAGAGGTTCAGATAATTGCCTAAGGTTGCCCAGTAGTCATCGGCAGAGCTGGGCTCAAACCCAGGTCACAGCTCCTAGTTTTGTACTTTTTACAACCTACCAAACAGTCTCTCCCTAAACTATTTTCAACTCCTCAGCCAACTTCCTAAAATTAACTTTAAATTAAAACTCTCATTTGGGGATTATAAAAATATGCATTATTTTCATTGAAAGAAACTCTGGATTTTGTCAGTAGCCAGATTTCTGAATGTCCTCACACAATTCCGGCTCTGAGGCTGAGCCTGTGACAGGCAGAGATGACATTGAAAGAAACTCTGGATTTTGTCAGTTGCCAGATTTCTGAATGTCCTCACACAATTCCATCTCTGAGGCTGAGCCTGTGACAGGCAGAGATGTGCCCAGCCCAGTGCTGACGAGGACCTGCACAAGATTTGAATCCTGGAGCTCACACTGAATTCACCAGGTTCTTTGAACATGCTGCTTTAGCCTCCCTGTGACTTACATGTAAAAATCAGTTCATCATTGGCTGGGGAAGCCATCAGCAGAATAAGAGGAAGCACAGAGGTCGTTCTAAGATTTCTAAAAACATTTGTACACCTGGCAGTGGTCCAGTCCCAGGGGCTGGTAACTAAGGAAAGGTAGAAGGAAAGCAAGAGGTGTGGTCTTGACTCGCAAGGTGCTTTACTGAAACAATGGCTTGCCAGTGTGGACTTAGGAGAGACACCAGGGAGGTTATAATTGCTCACCTTAGTACTTTCAAGGTAATGTTTGTCCTCGTAATGTAGAAATTGTGGTCCAGCTACAGTGGCACACGATGCCAAGTGGCACTACCACTTGAGAGGTTGAGAGCCACATAGTAGGCCTATGGTCAGTTCCTGGGCCAACCTTGACCTGCCAGGTGCAGTTGTGCACGACTGCAATTGTACCTACTTGGGAGGCTCAGTCAGGATGATCACAGCCTGGAGAGAACCTGTCAAAAATACCTAATCCTGTCTCTCAGTTTTCTTTTCACTCTCCCTCTCGTTCTGTCTTAAAGGGGAAAAACAGTTTGGGTGACAGCACAAGCCAACAAACCTTATCTGTTATGGGCCAGATGGTATTTTAGGGTTCCGCAGCCCACACGATCTGTCACGCCTGTTCTCTGTACTGCTGCAGCACAACCGCAGCAAATGACCACAGATGTGGCACTGTGACACTAAAACTTTACAGACACTGAGAACTGAATCACAGTCATTTATTATTCTGGCTTGGATTTTATTTGACCATTCAGAAATGTCAAAACCATTCTTAACTTGTGAGCCTGAGCAAAAACAAGTCAAGGGCCATGGTTTGCTGCCCCTGGGCCAAGACAGTTACTCTATTGAGCCTCTCAAATCTTAAAACAAAGTGAGCCAAAGGGTTCCAGGACAACTGAAGACTGGATCGTCTATCAGTGTTCCATTGGGCTTTACACACCTTATTGCTCTTCTGCTTCCTACTGAAATCAGGGTATAATTTTGCCTCAACTTCTAATTTAAAAAGTCAAAGACCTGAGACTTCTGTCTGTCAGGAACAATTTTAGGCACTCTGACGACCTTTCTCCCTTCAGTTTGCAGTTCTGATGTGGCTCCTGACCTACGTTGGCGCACTCTTCAATGGCCTGACCCTGCTGCTCATGGGTAAGGACAGGCGAGCCTGTGCCACATCTCCGTCACACACTCACGAGCTCAGCGCTTCCTGCCTGGTGGCTTTTGCCTTGACAGATTCCTAGGAACATGCAGATGTCCCTGAGTGCAGAGCATTTCTGCCCACCACAGTATGGTTAAAGAGCAGGATATGTCCGTCCACACTAAAAACGAATTTCTAAGTCCAACACTTTGTTTCTTTTCAACCTCTGCTAGTTTTCACAGGCTTCTCATATGTATCTGTTTACGGTGGCAGCTATGGAGAGAGGTTCAGTTTCTCATCTTGGGGGGGACCGTCTACCCTCCCAAGGAATAATGCTAGGAGTGATGACTTGATATCCGAAGGGCTCGGCATCCTTTCGTTTTCTTTATGAACCGCCCTGTCATCTTCTGTCTAGGATGCTGGTTCTCCCAAATAACGTTGTAATACCACTTAACTATTTTAAACGTATGTATAAGCTCATTCTTTCGGCTAACTCATGGAACGTTAACACTGTGTGTTTTCCACCCAGCTGTGGTGTCCATGTTCACTCTACCCGTCGTGTACGTGAAGTACCAGGTGAGTGCGGCGTGAGATCCAGCATTCGCACTGAATGTGGCCCTGGGACCTTGGACGCGCTCACGATGTCTTTCTTCCGTAGGCACAGATAGACCAGTATCTGGGACTCGTGAGGACTCACATAAACGCTATCGTGGCAAAGTAAGTTACATAGAGCAATTTGCAAGAAGGAAAAACTGCCTTAAGTAGGTATTTGAGTGGATTAGGTAGGAGAAATTTTTTAAAAAGGCAAAATAATAAGTCGATTTATGATCATTCACTTACTCAAATCATATGTTCATTCCCTTCATTCATTTATTTGAGTTGTGTGTTCATTCCCTTCCCAAATATGTTATTTGAGAAAATAAGTATAAAATTTAAAACTCTCAATTAAATAAAACCTCCAGTGGTTTATTTCCAGTATCATAATGAATGAGTTTTTGTGAGTGAAGGTTATTAAGCTCTGCGGACTGGCTTATGTCCAAGAACAACATGGGTTGGAGGAAAAAAGGAAGCTTGACTCAAAAATGTAAAATTAACACTCTAGTACTCTAGTTGAAATGAGAACAATTTAAAAAGCATTTTTATTTTTTCAAAGAAGGAATAACTCTCATTTTTTTAAACCATTGACATTATTTTAAAATTTAGGTTGTTTTTACCACTTTAAAATGTATATCATTTTTGTTACCTAAATGTTTTAATTACACCATTTTACTCAACAAGTGTATGTGTGTGTGTGGGGGGGTGTATGTTTAATTAAATCATTGTTTTTTGAACAGATGTACTTCATGGTTACCTTACATATTATTAGGACATAAAAATCTCAGTTTTATATTTATACAGCTAACTTGGTCATGAAACTTAGTAGTTTTCCCTGATTCTTACACTTTCTGCTTACTGCCTCTCAGACCTCCCCTCTCCATGCCCCAAGCACACGACCTCTCTCCTTCCCCCTGAGGCGTCTCCTCACTTTAGGGGCTCTGCACTCGGTGCCATCTCTACCTGAAACACTTTATACCCACATATTCACCTGGTGGCCCCTTCTTGTCCCCAGATATCTGTTCCTCAGATCAGTGGATTTAGAGTAGGTACCACTCACGGTAGCACCATGCCCTTCCCTGCCTATCATGGGGCCCAGTCCTGTTTTGGTTTATAACATTCATCACCATTTGAACCTCTCCTATCTACTTGTTCATTTCTATCCCTTCAACTCTCATGAGAATGAAAGCTTCACGGGAGCTGGAACTTACTTGTTTTTCTGAACTCCAGAATGTGGAAGGGTTCCTGGCACAGAGAAAGGTCTTAATCAAAATCAGCATGATGAGCTTAAAACATAACCAGCAGAACACGTCTGGTGTAACCCTGCCCTACAGGGATGCTGCCCCGCTGTGAGAAGCACAGAATTTTAGGTGCCTTGGAGAGATCTAGTCTACACCCACATTTTAAGATGAGTCTGACAACCAGCAAGGTTTATTAGCTGGCCTGTGTCACACAGTTAACTAGGAGCATAGCCGGGACTAGGACCCAGCCTTCTTAATTCTAGTTCTGAGTAGTCTGATTAGGCTGAGGGTGAATGTGGGTTCCTTTGCCTGGAACCAATCCTGTTTTATGCATATCTTTCCAGCACAGGAAGAGCACCCTCTTTCTCTTTCAGAAGTTGCTCATATGGGGCATGAAAGGTCATGGAACCATACATAGCACAGCCTCTGTAATCCTGTATAAGTCATCATGTTCATCTACCTAAAAAGTTATAAAAACTGCACCTTTCTTGGGTCATTCATTCCAATTTTTTACTTCCTTCTTAATGCTTTATAGAAGTGTTTATAGACATGTACATAAAACCTGTAATATCTTCCAAAACACTAAGCTATTTGGTCACGTAGAGAATTAAAGCAACAACTATAATGAATACATGCAACAATGTCATTAAAAACACTCATGCTGGAACCAGCAGTTAGCGTAATGGCTATGTCGCTGGACTTCCATGTAGTCGACCGCGATTTGAGTCCTGGACCCGGTGGCTTAAAACTCACGCCGGGTGCATGTGTGTGCGTGCCCAAGATCCCGAGAGGAGAATGGAGGAGAAGGGATTGCGGCGTGGCCATCCCCCCTGGGGGGGTGATTTCTCGCTTTCTGTCTCTCTGTCTCTCTCTGTCTGGTGAGTGCACATGCGCTATAGCAAAAACCTCTCTCAAAAAAAAACACTCGTGCTTTCTTATCTTTTGATGTTGTCTTTTAGGATTCAGGCTAAAATCCCAGGTGCTAAAAGGCATGCCGAGTGAACGGAGTGAACCGCTGTCCCACCGGGGACACAAACAGGAATGTCCGGAGTGGTAACAGCTCTCTTCTTACTCGTTACTGCAAATCGATTGTTTTCCCCCCCAGTACCATAATCTTAGAGACAAACTTGACAACAGCTGTTTTCAGGCTGTTTCTGTACTCTTAGGATATTTGAGTCACTTGTGTCAAGCACTAAAGTATAGAGAAAAGTGTATTAGATGTGGTTTTTAATTTCGTGTTGCTAAAAAAAGTGCATGATGGTGAGAGCCCAAGTCCTCTTTCCTCCTTCGGTGTTCCTCCTCTTCTCTCTGCAATGCTTCTGTAGCTTCTAACATTCCCCATGGCTAGGCCCTTCCTGCCCAGTGCACTGATGCAATAGTGGAAATCGCTTCTATGTCCTTGGGTTGCTGGTTGGATTAACCTTTAATAACAATATATAGAACTGTAGACTGATGTTTTAGCATTTTTTCCAACACACACCACATAAAAATAAAAACAGTCGACCGTACTTATGGTAATCAGTTTTGTATAACTTAAAATAATTAAATAAATGAATAAATCCAAAACAAACGCGCAGTACTTTTGTTGTATGGGATTGATGGGCTGATTTACATGTATGGTAACGAAAAAGTACCAGCATGTTAACTTTATTACAATTTGTATTACTTTCTCTGTAGTTCCTAATGGACTTAATTATGGATTCTGGATATTTGCACTTATGTACTTGATACTGAATGCATAAATAAATGTTATTAAATGTAGCAAGTTCTTTCTCTCTTTTCATGATCTTACGGGAAAACACAAAAGCTCTAAGACACAGGCACTCGTTGACGTGCTGGAGGACTGAGGCCGGGTGCTCACCTGCTCCTCTCCAGGACTACAGGGCCCGGCCTATAGCTTCTCTATGGCTTCTTTGGGTTAGTCACAGAAACCACTGAAGAGCGATAAGCTGGAAAACAACCTAAATATTTATTTCATGGAGTTGATGCAGACATTTTAAGTAGTTTTTTTAAAAAATAAAACTTGATAGTGATATAAATCTTCATAAACTTTTATAACGATCTATAACATAACACTGGCATAAAATAACTGGTGTGGGGAACCAGCAGTTAGCATAATGACTATGTCGCTGGACTCCCACGTAGTCGACCGCGGTTTGCGTCCCGGACCCGGTGGCTTAAAACTCACGTCGGGCACCTGTGCATGCGGGCCCAAGATCCTGAGAGGAGAATGGAGGAGAAGGGATTGCGGCGTGCCCATCCCCTCTGGGAGGGGATTTCTCGCTTTCTGTCTCTATGTCTCTCTCTGTCTGTCTGGTGAGCGCACGCGCCCTATAGCGAAAAAATAAATAAATAAATAAGGCAACTGGTGTGCACGCCTTCTTTTGGTAATTATGTATGGAGCACTAATGTGTGCTAAACCCTAAAAAATAAGACTGTGTGGAGCCAGCAGATGGCATGGTGGTTAAGGCACTGGACTCCTATGTGTCTGATCACCGTTTGAATCCCAAACCTGGCGCTTGAAACTCACTCTGGTCATATGTGCATGCATGCCCAAAATCTCAAGAGGACAATGGAGAAGAAGGGATTGCAGCGTCACCTTCTCCTTTCGAGGGGTGATTTCTCCCTTCCTGACCCTCTGTCTGTCTCCAAGGCGAGTGCACACACCCTGTAGCAAAAAAAAATCTCTAAAAAAAATAAATTAATTAAATTAAATTAAAAAGAAATAAGACTGAGTAGCAGAGGGGATAGTTCCTGCCCTTGCAACGCTAATTCTTCTAACAATTGCTCACTGTTTATTGTAAAAGTCTAATTGCATGCTTTATTTAGAATCAAAAGATGGAGAGATAGGCCCAGCCTGGTCGGCACAGACAATAGTGAACTGAACTCCAGTGCTGGAAGCCACATGGTTGACCGTGGTTTCAGATTGCCAGGTCAGCCTGAAAAAATGTTGCGCACTCACATCCGAGCTCAGCATTTCAGTGAGCTGGAGGGTTGGGATAAGGGAATTCCAGAGTGACAAGACCCTGTTATGGTTATCTCTCTCTCTGTCTCTCTCACTCACACACATATACTCTCTATCATAAACAAAATAAACTTAAGAGAAAAGATGAAGGTGGGGGCCAGCAGGTGGTATGGTGGTTAAGAAACTGGACTTCCAAATGGCCGACTGTGGTTCAAGTCCAGGGTCCAGTGACTTAAAAAATCATACCAGATGCATGTGTCTGCATGCCCAAAATTCCAAGAGGAGAATGGAGAACGGACTGTGGTATGGCCATCCCCTCTGAGGGGTGATTTCTCACTTTCCCTCTCTCTGTCTCGGTCTTTCTCTGGCAAGTGCACATGCCCTAAGGCAAAAAGTCTTAAAAAAAAAAAAATTGGATGAGGAGCCAGCAGGTGGCATGGTAGTTAAGGCACTGGCTCCCACATGGCTGACCATACAGTTAAAGTCCTGGGACCTACCAGCTTGAAAAACATGCTGGGCACATGTGTGTGCATGCCCCAAATCCCTGGAGGAAAATGGAGGAGGAGGGATTGTGGCATGATCATCTCCCTGGAGTGTTCTCATTTTCCCTCTCTCTGTCTCTAGCTGTCTCTCCACTGGACAAAAGCTTCCATTGACCAGTTTTATACGTGGGCTCTGCAAGTATCTGTAGTGTTATCCCTTCTGTGCAAAGTGATATGAAAGTTACAAGGGCAACTTGACACTGGGCCAATGGCCAAGAAACCACCATCATGGTACTGGGGAGAGGGAAAGTGGCTGTGTGAAAATGCTAACTGATCAAAAAGCAGCCAGAAATAAGAGCTGGGATACAAGGCTCAGACAACAGAGAAGGATTCTTGGGGGTGGTAGATTTGGAGACTGGGGCCTGGCCTAGGTTTTGCCAGATAAAGATGATTCACGCCAGAATGAAGAAAGAAAATAAGCTAAAGTGCTAAGACCTGGAAGCGTGTGACCTTCACAGAGAAAGGTGAGTAATAAGTAATGTTACACTAGGTTGCAGGGTGCTTGGAGGTGGGAATCATAGTCCCAGGTAAGGCTAGAAAAAATGGGTTGAGATCACACTAGGAAGACGCATGAGTGCCTATACTAAGGAATTTGGGCTTAGGTCTTAGAGAATCACATAAATATGAAGAAGGTGCAAGATACTGTATAGTAGAAGAATAGAGAAGGAGGTCATTGTGCCCTAACTATTGTCATAGCAAACAGATCACAAATGGCTGGGTCTCTGCTAGGACAGCCATAGTGAGAATAGAAAGGAGATGCTCACCTGTCCCAGATTTCTGTGTTATCCTGACTTGCCAAGCACCCACCAATGGGCATACGCACTACTCAGAGGTGATGTGGAGAGAGATTGGACTGGAGCCACTGACTGATGAGATGTGGGGTTTCAAGACTAAGGGCCTGGAGAGCTAGTGCCTCCTTGAGTTTTACACCCTGCAGTTTTCTTGCCTCACTCTAGCCCATTCACTGTCTAACACTAGCTGATCAAGGGGCAAGCAGACAGTACAGTAGTTATGTTGCTGAACTCCCATGTGGCTGAGTGTGGTTAAAGTCCTGGACCTGGTGGCTTAAAAATCATGCTGGGCATGTGTGCGTGCATGCCCAAGATCCAGAAGGAGAATGGAGGAGAAGGGATTGTGGATGGCCATCTTTTCAGTGTCTAACTTCTGTGATGAAGTACCTTCTACATGGCTTTATGGTATAGAATTAATATTCTTCAGAATCTGTATTTGCAGCATTTTCCTCTGCCTGTAGGCCCAGAATTCCTTTCACAAGTGACTGCTCACAAGGATACAATTAGGAATTCCGTATGCTAGCAGAGGTAGAGACTTCTGAGGTAACTCCAGGTGTACAGAATGAGAGGTGCGGGTGTAGACTTTAAATGTGAGGCACATACTATGTGGTTGCTGTGAGCACAGAGATGACAGAGACAATGTGAGGACCCAGCAAGCAAATGAGAAGCCCAAGCAGAGCCCCAGGAAACCCAGAGGGAGTGAGATGTGAGCAGCAGAAAGTTCTTACAGCCTTTGGATGAGTTAAGCAAGCAGGCAGTGGGCAGATGAAGCAACCACAGTATGTTTTATGGATTATTTCAGAAATAAAGAACATAGGATAGCATACGGCCTCTGCTTTCCCTCACCCGTATTAGTTCCCTAGGGTTGGATGGTTGTGCAGTGGTCAGACATGACACTCTACGAGGTAGTTCCACATGGGAAGGTTCCTGGTTCAAGTCTGAGACCTCCCAGAGCACTCCAGGCATGTGCTTGCCCATCACACGGTGCTGGATGAAGGCTGGGGGTGGGTTGTGGTGTTGAGACCCTATGGGAGGTTCTCTTTCTCTTTCTCTCTCGCTCATAGTAGAAATAAAAAAGCTGGTTTTTAAAGCACTAAAAATTGGGTAACGACAGAAATTTATTTTCTCACAGTTCTGCAAGCTAGAAATCAGGATGTCAGCAAGATGGTATTGTTCCCATGGTCTCCCGTGTCACCTGGACTGATGCTTCCTATCGAAGCGGCATAGTACATGCCTCGTGTTAAAATTCTATAGCCCTACCTCTCACTGTGTGAGCCTGGAGAGCCCTCCGGAGCCTCCGCTGCTGCCAGCATATGGCATTTCTAACTAGATCCTGAGATCAGGACGTCGGGCTGTGCTCTCTGCTGGCCCCAGGGCAGGAGCTTTCCTGGCCTCCTCTAGCTTCTGCTGTTTGCCAGCCACTCTGGGTGTCCCTGGACTTGTAGATGCACTGCCCCAGTTACATAGCTGTCTTCTTCCTTCTGCTGCTTGTCTTCCCTTTGTGTCCAGATGCCCCTTTTAATAAAAACACTGAATTAGGGCCCACCCGATCCTCACTTTAATTCAACAGCCTCTATAAAGATCCTGTTTCCAAAAAAGGCCACATTCTGATGTATGCGGGGTTTGGGACTTCAGCCTATCTTTCAGTGTGTGTGTGTGGGGGGGGTCGGTGGGGTTAAGAGGGAGCATAATTCACAATTGACAATAACACCACCCCAGGCCTCAGCCTGGCCCTTATGCTACTGTAAGGCTTTTCCCTCCAGGGTAGATCCCAGGCCTGCTTCTCTGCTTGCCTTCTCACTGGAAGGAACCACTGCTCAGATGCAGTGTGACCGCTTTCTCCCTCACCTAAACGCACCTGGAGTGTGACTGGTGGCTGGGTCTTGTTCCACCCCAGGGGGGCTGCAGCAGCCACCACATTGGCCTTGACTGGGGCAGCTTCCAGCATCTGAACTTCGGCTCTCTCATCTGTGTGTCGAGAAGCAGGTGGAGAAGATGGGAGCCACCATGGGGCATTTTGGTGTCCGCT